AAACTCCCGATTCTCCACCTCAGAATCCCTAGTCCCCGCCTCCGCCCCGCCGCCAGCCTCCGCCCCGCCGCCAGCCGCCGCCGTCGCCGCCGTCGCCTCCGCCAGCGACTCCGCCTCTAGACCGCGCGAGAGCGGTCCCTGAGGCCGCCGCGAGACCGCGCACGCGCCTCTGGAAGACGGACGCGGCGAGCGCACCTATCCCAGCCTCTCCTCGGCGCGCCCCGCCCACCGCTGGGCGGAGAGACTGGCGCGGCTTGCCCAATCCCAAGCCGGCCCGCAGAGAGCGCCCGCCCGCTCATTGGCCTCTCTGCAGTGCCCCTTACGCGCACTCGCACGCTTCAAAGTATAAAACGCGAATTGTGCCGGGCTCGCGCCAGGCGAGCGGCTGGAGTGTGTGGGGGTGTGAGGCTGCCTCGAGGTTCTTCCGTCTCTGGTTGACCGTCAGCTCCTGAAGGAAATCCGAGCGCTCTTGAAGGGACCCCTCATGTCCTTCAAGTTCGTCACACAGTCTAACCTTTGTTTAGAAAATAACCGTGACCGAGTTAAGCACCTGGATGTGTGTAGCGTCCCGCAGAAGACCCCGCAAAACTAGCAACAGCCGCGAGGTCTGAGACCAGAAAGGAAGGATGCCCAGGGTCACAGCTGCCCACGCAACTTTCTCGAATGGATTCAGAGCTACGCAGGCCAGGCTGGCGCTCCGGGGACAGGGAATGCCGCCCTCTGAACGGGCGGGACGCGGGGCGGCGCCGCGAGGGCGAGATCCGCGGCTGGCCGAACTCGGAGCAGCTGGAGGGAGTTCTACGCAGAAGTGCCAGCATGGATGCCTCGGCGCCCGTAGGGAGAGCCCTCGGGTGGCCGCTGCTTTGACAGTGATCCAGAGCTCTGCCTTCCAAGGCACCCCGTCCACCTTTGAACACTTCTCGTGTGCGTGTGGCGGCGGGGGAGGTGTTTCTCACTATGTTGTCCAGGCTGGGCTCCAACTCCTGGCCTCTGGCGTTCCTCCTGCTCGGCCTCCCAAAGTGTTGCCGTTCCAGACGAGAGCCACCGCGCCCCGCGCACCTTTGACGCTGATACCGTCTGTTCGCCAGTCTCCTAGGGGGCCCAAATCGGCCTGTTACTTCAGCCCAGCGGCACGCTGTGCCTACACCATCCTCCCTCAAAGCCTTCTGAAATGTCAGTTCTCATGGTTTTCCATCTTCGGACTCAGTATCCCTCGGTCCCCGACCTGCTGGTCTCCGGCGATCCTTCCGCCTCATCCTTCCCAGCAACTGGAACTACAGGCGCGCGCCACCGCGCCCGGCTAATTTTTTGTTTTATTGCAGAGACGCGGGCTCAGCAAGTTGCCCAGGCTGGTCTCGAACCCCTGGGCTCAGACCATCCTCTCGCCTCTGCCTCGGAAAGTGCTGGGATTACAAGCGTGAGGCACCATGCCTGGCAACTCTTTTTTTTTTTTTTTTTTTTTAAATCCTAGTGCTAAGATTCTCGTAACCTCTGCATGTAGAGTCAAACATGGAGAGCATAGGAGTTTAAGAGAATATGCTATTCATCCCCAAATAGAATGTAATGGGTAATTTGTGGTTTAACTCCACTCACCTCCCCACCCCGGATTTGTTCATCCTTGTCAAGAAGCAGAGAGGCAGTTCACCTCTTGAGTCATACTGGCAAATTTGTAACTATTATGAGTGAGTGGTGGAAGCCAAGCTGTAAAATCAGGTGTGTAGTGGAGAATCACCATACACACTTAGTAAATACCTTTCCTTTCTTATCCTGGTATCCACTTATCCTGCTCTTTGTCAGTATTCCTTATTATATGTTTACGTAATAAAATATCATGCTATTTTATTTTTGTTTTGTTGGGAGGCCGAAGTGAGAGGATTGCCTGAGCCCACAGGTTCGAGAACAGCCTGGGCAACTTGGCAAGCCCTCATCTCTACAATAAATTTTTAAAAATTAGCCGGGCGTGGTAGTGCGCGTCTGGAAGGCTGAGGTGAAAAAATCGCCTGAGCCCAGCAGGTTGATGCTGGGGTGGATGTGAGCATGCTACTGCACTCCGGCCTGGACAAGGGAGTGAGACTCCACCTCGGGAGAAAAAAAAGTTTTGGGGAACTGGGTGTGTGGGACACTCCTACAGTCCAGCAACTCGGCAGGGTGAAGTGGGAGGAGTATTTGAGCCCAGGAGTTTTCAGTCCAGCCTGGGCAACATAGCAACATAGCAAGACCCCATCTCTAAAAAAGAAAAAATAATGTTTTGGGGAAACATTCACATTGCATTTCAGCCATGTGTAATAGGTCTGAAATCTTAGTTTCCAAGACACTACTAGTCACAGTTTATATGCTAAATCCTTAACTAAGGCTCCTCTCTGTACTAGTAAAAACCAGGTTCCCATAACTGAATTAATAACTTTTAATTGTATGAATCATATCATCAGAGATAATGTATACTAAAAGCAGAATATTCACTGATTCCAATAAGAGAAGTTATGAAACAATTAGTAGATATATTAATTAGTAAATACATATTTAAAATTTAAAAATACCAAAATAACAAATAGTAAACCAACAAATCATATATTTTTCGAACTTGAGTCGGTTATTATTATTTTGATGTTTTATAGTACTATTTGATTTTTTATAATTCTAGCTAGAATATTATGTCCCCAACCTAAGAACATTATACAGTCATTGTCATGGAATAGAAGGTCCCTCTGTCTGCAGTTAGCATCAGTGCAATTCAATACAGGTCAGTATCATTCAACTCAGTTGACTTTAACAAACATCCATTAATTAAAAAAAAATACTGAGCACTTCCTATGAGTTAAGCATCATGCTATAGGAATTGAGACATGTGGCAGTCCCTGTACTGGAGGAATTTACAGTAAGGGAGGAAAAGGGACAAAATAAGAAAAATAAAATACAAGGGACGTCAAGCATGATGGCTCACCCCTGTAATCCCAGCACTTTGGGAAGCTGAGGTGAGAGGATTGCCTGAACTCAGGGGTTCTAGACCAGCCTGGCAACTTGGTGGGACCTTGTCTGAAAAATTAAAAAATCAGCTGGATGTGGTGGTGCATGCCTGTAGTTCCAGCTACTTGGAAGGCTGAGGCTGAAGAACTGTATGAGCCCAGCAGGTTGAGACTGTGGTGGCCGTGAGCATGCCACTGCACTCCAGCCTGGGAGATAGAGTAAGACTCAGACTCAAAAAAATAAATGAAAAGAAGATACTCGGGACTCAAAGATATGGTCTTGTACCAGGAAGAGCTTTGCTACCCAATGAGGGTGGGAGTGAGGACAGTGAATAAATTGCTATGAAAATACTCACAATAATGGGAAAACCAAGATCTTACATATGGCTTTAAAAAGATAGATGTGGGGCCGGGCTCGGTAGCTCAGCCTGTAATCCCAGTGCTTTGGGAGGCCGAGGTGAGTGGATTGCCTGAGCCCGAGGGTTCGAGACCCGCCCGGGCAACTTGGCGAGACCTCATCTCTACAATAAATCTGTAATTCCAGCTACTTGGAAGGTTGAAGCAGAAGGATCGCCAGAGCCCAGCAGGGCGAGGCTGCGGTGGCCAGGAGCGTGCCACTGCACTCCTGTCTGGGCGAAGGAGTGAGACTTAACTCAAAAAAAAAAAAAAAAGATAGATGTGGGTAGGGGGAAGAATTGAGATATTGGTCAAAGGATACAAAATTTCAGTTAGGCAGGAGGAATAAGCTCAAGAGATCTATTGTACAGAATACAATGTATGGTATCCTTAAAAATCATTGAGGGCAGATTTTAAGTGTTCTCAGCACACAAAAAAGGGTATGTATTTGAGGTAATGCTAATTAGCTCAATTTAGCCATTCCATAATGTATACATATTTCAAAAATATGTATACATTTTCATGTTGTACACCATAAATATACAAGTTTTATTTTTCAATTAAAATTTTTAAGTTAAATTTAAAATAAAAATAGATATAAAGCTTTTTCTCATTATGAATGACTGAGTGAAATACATGGAAAAAAGAAGCATGAACTTTAATATAGGAACAAGAGTCAACAAAATATTCAATATTTAGGACATCTGTCATTTATCACTCTTATTTTTACCCTCCTGGTGGTCTTGTGCCAAGCTAGGGATGTGCAGACAGATAAAACATAGTCCATGAGAAATTTTATTTTAGAGAAAGGCTACGTAGGTACATTTGGAACTTGGAAATTTTTTCCAGTGAAGGAAAGATCAAGACCAAATGTTAAGAAAGAGGAAATCAAGTTTGATCTCATTGAAAAGGGCTATGAAATTACCTATATCTTTTTCTCACTAAGTTCCCAATCAAATTTCTGTTTTGTTTGTGAGAAAAATTCCAGATGCTACTTTAATTCATACTCATATGTGAATATCTGGGACTGAGTCTGGGTGGTATCTGACCTGAACTTCAAAGAGCAGAACTCTAATGCCTCTTCCCTATTATCTCTTAAGCCCACTCTGATTGAGTTAAAGTCACTGAGCTCAGCCACCTTGTTAAGTGCAAAGGTCAGTTTTCAGCTCTCATCTTACGTGACCTGTCAGCAGTGTCTAATAGTTGATAATTTTTCCATTTTCTTCTCTGGACTCCTAAACACCACTCTTGCTTCCTCTCCTATCTCACTGGAACCTCCTTCTCAGTCTTCTTTGCTGATTCTTGTTTATCTTCTTGAATGCTAAAATTTGGAGTGTCCTGGAGTTCTAATGTTGAATATGTTACTTCTCTCGGGGTTTGAATCCCAGCTGTATCATTTGCTAGCTATCTAATCACAAGAAAGTACTTAGTTTCTCTAAATTCAGCTTCCTCCCTTATAAAACGAAGGTAATAAAAGTAGCTATCTCCTTCATTGGTTATGATGTCTAAGTGAATTTACATACCAAAGTGCTTAGTGGCATGGTATTTGTCTTTATTTATTTATTTTGAGTTGGAGTCTCACTCTTTGTTGCCCACGCTGGAGTGCAGTGACACGCTCAGCCACCACAGCCTCGACCTGCTGGGCTCAGGCAATCCTTCTGCCTCAGCCTTCCAAGTAGTAGCTGGAAGTACAGATGCACACCACCATGCCTGGCTAGTTTTTGTGATTTATTATAGAGACAAGGTCTCACCAAGTTGCCCAGGCTGGTCTCGAATCCCTGGGCTCAGGCATTCCTCTTACCTCGGCCTCCCAAAGTTCTGGGATTACAGGCTGAGCCACCGTGCCCAGCTTGTTTTTATGTTTATCATCATGTTTTTTTAACCACTCACTAACTTTCCACTTTCCAGTATACCACTCTGCAGATGCTTTCATCTGGTCTCATGGCTTCAATTTCATCTATACATTGTTAACTCCAAATTTATCTCTAGTCTGAACTTCTGCTCTAAACTCCAGAATCCTATATTCAACTGTCAACTCAAATCTTCATTTGAATTTCTAATGAGCATTATAAATTTAATATGACAGAGCTATTGATTTTGGTCCAGTTTCCAGTTGTTTAGGCATTCTTTCACATGGCACATTCAACCCATCAGGAAATTCTGTTATATCTATGCTAAAAATATATCCAGAGTCTAACCACTTCTCCCCAACCCCTCTGCTACCACCCTACTCCAAGCCATCAAGCCATCATCATCTTTTGCTGGAATTACTGCATTAGCCTCCTTCCCACGGGTCATGAGACAGATGACAGGGAGGGAGTTGGGCTGAGGAAGGGAGTTCAGATGGAAATTCAGATCAGGTATAGGGGGTACTTCTAATCAGAAATTTTTGAAAACTGTCAATGGAAGCAGATATCTGAGACTACAAACTTCTTTGTTATTGAAAAGCCTTAAGCTTCCTATGCGATAGACTACACGAGAGTTGGAATAGGTAGTGGTCTTCTACCAAGTGTTAAAATGTTGGTGG